ACAAAAGGAAAACATGTCCGATCTCCTTTGTGTCCCAAGCAAGACGCTAAAAGCGAAAGCTATACACAAACGGAAAATCTCAGCAAGCTGTGCTGGAGTGTAAACAAGCATGTGACACACAACAGTCATGCCTGTACTTAAGGTGGAACGGGATATCCTAACATCCGGATGCTTGGCTAGAGCAGTCCGGAGCTAATTGCTTGTTTTTGCAATAAGTTCTCCTTTTTAATTACATACATTTACTGTGTTATCAAGCCGGGAACCTGGACTCCTAACAGGTATATCCAGTTGGTGGAAATTGCAGGAAGGGAGATTCCCTTTAACCATTAAGAGAAACTTGCTAATGGCATGAGCTGTCCAACCGTGGAACAGGCTGTCTCAGAAGATGGTGGGTTGCCCTGTGTTGGAGGCATTTATGCAGAAGCTGGGTGGCCATCAGTCCAGGGATATTGGAGTTGCACCTGTACCACAGATCTTGAGTAGAGCAGGGGGTTAAAATAACAGAACCGCAGAGCTGAAGGGGACCACAAAGGTAACCCCCTTTTACAGCGCTACTATAGCCTAGAATAGAGGTGGCCATTCTGTACCTACTTAAGAATCTCAGGTGAAAAATCACCCATCACTTCCTAAGATTGAACAGCTCATATAGTTACTAAGTCCTTTAGCTGACATCCTTGGGGTCGTAATTTGAACCCACTGGTATATTCGAAGAATGCCGACCCAAATAAAAGCTTTCTTTTGTTGCAATAAAAATGAAGGCACAAAATTATTGGGATGTGTGGCAGCATTTTTAATAACCCATTCATAACTCCAAAGAGATGATAATGATGATAAAGCACCTTGATTACTGTAAGAAATAACAGGGGTCAGAAATTACCTCTTCTGGGTTCAAGGGTGTGAGGAGTAGAATACTGCTGTATCTAGAACAGGACCAAAAAGCAGCAGAGGATTTTTATGCCTGCAGGTTTGCCTGCAGGTTCGCAACAGAAAGGCGCTTTGTTGTCACCAAATTCATGTGAAAGGAGGGGTTGGGGGGGTGTTATGTAGTGATTTTGTGCCGGAAGATCTTGCTGACACTTTGGGAAGATAGCTGGCTCTACGATCCTTAAGCAACATGGAATTTTTTCTAAGAGAGCAAGATGATGCTTCTGTCGGGTACGTGATGTACCTTAGGGAGCTGTCAAATGTATTAATTTGAAGATTGTTGCAATAGATGCCTACTGAATATTAGCAGCCATCGCAACAGCTCACCCAGTCCTCACCAGACATTTCAGTGCTACAAGGGCAATACAACATAGATTGGACAGCATTACTAAGTATTTAATTTTATCCAAATGTCTCACCCCCAACCCAGCTTGGTGTCTAAAACCTCCAGAAGAAAAGAGTGTTCATGTCAATTGACACGTAGCAGTTTTTTCTCAATGTGTCTGTTGTTTATGCTTTCAGCGCAGCCTGTTAGGCTGTTTTGCATTTTCATGGAAGTAAAATGTTTTAGAAGCAATACTTGTGAATTCACGGGCTGATCTGTTGGGAAGGACCATAACTCAGTCCTTACATGCCTTACATGCAGAAGGTCCCCGTTTCAATCTGCAGGGAGGGCAGTGAAAGATTCCTGTCTGAAACCCTGGAGAGGTTGATGGACCCATGTTGTTGTTGTTGTTGTTTTATAATTTTTTAAAATTATTTTCACATTTAAACATTATCATCATATAAACCATAACATACAAAAACAATTAAAATAAAAATAGAAACTAAAACATTTTCATACCATATTAAATCCATATTTTCAGATTATTCAGATCCCTTGACTTCCCTCCATTTCCTCCCCTGCTTCATTTATAATATATTATACATGTCTATAATTTCTTTATCCTTAACGATTTCCCATTTTAAACATTCTCCTTAATATTACAAATGTTTTTAAAGACCTGCTATTGTATTAACTTCCTTACAGTGCTTTTGTAAATATGCAATAAACATTTTCCATTCTTTCTTATATTTGTTGTCTTCTTGATTTCTTAGTCTTCCAGTCAATTTAACCATTTCAGCATATTCCATTAATTTAAGTTGCCAGTCTTCTTTAGTTGGGACTTCTTTCCAATGTTGAGCTATCAATATCGGGGGGCTGTTGTTGCATACATAAACAAATTTCGTATTCTTTTGGTATATCCATTCCAGTTATACCTATTAAGAAAGCTTCTGGCTTTTTAACAAATGTTATTTTTAACTTTTTTTTTCAATTCATTATAAATCATTTCCCAAAAACTTTTTATAACCTTACATTGCCACCACATATGGTAAAACGTACCTTCTACTTCTTTACACTTCCAGCACTTATTATCTTTTGTCTTGTGGAATTAGAGTAATAAAAGCCTCTTTCCAAGTCTTTGGTATTTCTCCTATCTTTAATATTTTGTTCATTCCATTTTGTAGTGGGTGAATTAAGTAATTTTCTAATTTTTTGGTAGTATTTTGCTGTTAGTCCATCTGGGCCTGATGCTTTTCCTGGTTTTGCTTGTTTAATGGCATTTCTGCTATATTAATTGGTGCATTTAAAATATTCAACTTTTCATATGGAATTTCTGGCAACTTATTTTGTCTTATATTTCTTTCAATTTCTATTTTATCTTCCGGTCTGGCTCGGTTTAGGTCCGAAAAATATCAGAAGAAAGCAACCACTAATGTTCCTGTGATAGTATGGTTGTTATCTACATACTCTTTGAGTTGCAACACTGTGCAGATGTGATGGAACCCAAGACACATGCAGCATATCCTACTTAGAAGCAGGGGTTGTTTCTTTACAGAAGTCAGTTCTATTCAAGGAATCCTCTCTTTGAAGGACTATCCAAGTCTGGTTTAAAGGTCAATAACTGAAAAATCAAGAGTAGGGGTCTTGATGTTGCCTATGAACTGTGAGCACGTGGAACGAGCAGCTAGTGCATTCCAACTTTTTTGGCGATGAGTTTAGTGGCCTTACCCATAACTTTCTTCCGTGTAGGAAATTTGTCTCATATGCAGTCACCTACACATTGCACGGAACTCTAGTAGGAATCTTTACTTACTCTCCATCAGCCACAGCAAAACAATATAAGAAGCAGAAATCTGGACGAGCCCTTAGCTTCCTTGGAAGACTGCAGGTTCTTAGGTTTATGCACAAGGGAGAAACACTTTTATTTCTCCACTTTCTCTACCCTGTGCATAATTTTATTGTCCCCCATCATGTCTCCCCTTACTTGCTTTTTCCTAACCTGAAAAGTCCCCACTACAGCAATATTTTCCTCAGAGCTCCAGCCCCTTGATCATTTTGTTTGCATTTTTCTGCACCTTTTCCAGATCTACACAATATCCTTTTCGAGGTGCAGCAACAATACCAAGACACAGTATTCAAAGTATGTGATCACACCGTAGACTAGCATCAAACTATTGGCAGTTTTATTTTCAATCTCTTTCCTAACATGAATTTCACCTTTTTTCACAGCTACTGTACAATGGGTCCATGTCTTCATTGAGTGATCCACTATATAAAGTTAGGATTTCTTGCTTCAATGTACATACATAGAACAACATTTTCCATTTTAAGGCCCATTCACCCAGTTTGGAGCAATTCTTTTGGACCTCTTCACAATCCCTTCTTTCTTTTGAAATACTGAATATTTTAGTTTCATCGCTTGACCACTTCACTGTCACTCCCAACTCTATTATGAACAAGTTAAAAACACTGGCACCAATACAGATCATTGGAGACACCCCTTCTTACCTCCATCCATTGTGAGAACTGTTTCCTGTTCTTAACCAGTTACAGATCCATGAAATAATATGTCTCTTATCTAATAACTGCTAAGCTTACTCTGGTGTTTTTTTGGTGTGGGACTGTACCAAAGGCTTTTTGAAAGTCTAAATACACACTCTGTACTAGATCACCCCTATATAGTTATGGACCCTCTCTATGAACATAGTTATGGACCTCCTCTATGAACTCTAAATGTTGATTAGACAGGAATTACTTTCACAGACTGGTTCTCCTTCAGCATGTCTTCTTTCCTAGATGCTTCACAATTTTATCTTTAATAATGTTCTCCACCAGTTTTTCCAGAACAGATGTTAAGCTAACTAGCTGACAGTTTCCCTGACCTCCTCTGCATCCCTCTCAGTGTGTTCTGATTTTAAACACCAACATTTGGTTGACCTGGAGCCTGACAGTTTTTTGTAGAGGACCAGTTTGTCACACACACACCCCAAATTCCCCCATGCCTAACAAATCAAACTCCTCCTACTGACACCCATCATCTCATCAATGCATTGAGAGTCCTCAACGTTTCATGTCTTATTGGCCTTGCATGTGGATCTGGTAGCAGTTCTGAGAAAGCAACTTTGAAGATTCTGGTTTTCAAGCCTCTACCTAACACCTGAAATGTTGCTTCCAGAACTGCGTGTCTACACTTCCACAGGTTATTGAACCACTGACACTTCCCCATCATTAACAAGCAAGCTATCTAGATGATGTGTCACATTCTCAACTTTTGTAGGCAACTCACCATGAAGTCCACACACCCATTCCAAACCCTAATGATTGAATCACTCACTACCAGGAAACTCCCACCCCCGGAGGAGTTTCTTTGGCATGAGAGAATATTGCTTCAATCACAAGGAAAAAGCAGCCAGAGCAGGTATTACAGCCTCTGTAATGAGGGGGGGGAGGGGGCAACACACGCTACGCCACTGCACCAGTTTGGGAAATAACTTTGAAATCCATAACATCAAGCTGACAGCATTACCATATGTTGTATTGGTATGGGTAATTGAATGCATTTAGCTGTGCATCAATACAATTATGGATACAATAAGATACAATACAATTTTATTACAGAATAAAAACAAACAGCATACAGCAGGGATGGGGAACCTGTAGCCCTCCAGATGGTAATAGATTCCAGCTCCCATCAGCTCCAGCCATCATTGCGAATGGTTGGGGGTGATGGGCTTGCAGTTCAACAACATCTGGATGGCCACAGGTTCCCTACCTCTTGCATACCATATTTGAAAATACAAAATACAATACAACCATACCATTTACTGACCAGCCTCTTCTGATCACATCTGAAGAAATAATAATTCAGCAGCGATACAGCCTGGTGGTTTGGTAGGAGGGACATGCATCATATGAGAGATAAAAGGGTGTGGGGATGCAAAAAAGCAAGCAAGAGCAACCATTTGTTCTTCTTCAGTCCCAGGGGAAACTCACACCCACACCCTTAATGTGAGATGGATAAAAACGGTCAAAGATTTCGTTCTGTGCCACTGTGACGTGGTTCTTCCAATCCCCGGGTAGCCCTGAAAGACCACAAGAGAGACTCGTAACCACAAAGATGTTCAGCCAGAATTATTTCAGCACTGGCTTCAGTTCCTGATTAACTTTATCCATTGGTCAATGGCAGTTCACAGGGAAAGACTCTCCACCCGCCCCGCCCCCTTTGCCTAATGGCCTTTATCTATGAACTCCACCATAAGCTATATTGTTACCTGTCAGCACAAGTGGCTGTTTAATGTGCATCGAAACACTTCCTCGCTTCCGAGATGAGATGGGCATAGCCTCATTCTTCACTTTATGGAAGGAGGGGTTTTCCGCCACAGAGTCAATTTGCTGGCTGTTCAGCTCCTTGCCAAGGAACTGGCAGATCTTCTCCACACTCCCTCGAAGGTCCTGCAGAAGGGGAAAGCAAATGACTGTGAAACTGATGAAGAGACACACAGAGGGCATTACTGCTAGTTTGTAGGGTGCATTTAACAATACTGATGCCATGGGTGTATTGACCTCTCAGCCACCATGGTGAGGAAGCCAGAGTAGAATCCTGTTCTCAAAAAATTGCCTTTCTTTTTGTCTCAGACTGCCTCTTGGCCTGCTCAGCACCGAAGGAGCATCTGAGGCAGCAGCAGACCTTGGTTGTGTCCACATTAGTTCACTGAGTCCATGTGCAAATTTGTTTGCCTTCATCCAGTTTTGATTTTATGCCTCCAAAATCCGTCCTGTTGCTTCCTGTCTATACTAGTGGGTGATGCTTGATGGAATGTTTCCATGCTGTGTGTCTCCACACTCCTTCTCAATTAGTATATCCTTGTCCTTCACAAGTTCTGGAAAACTGAGGTCCATTATAGGCTATTTGTTTATCTGTGTGCACACTTAAAAAAAAAAAATGGGGGGGGGGGAGGAATACAAGTTTTTTAAACTATCAGATTTGCACAAAATAATAAATTTGTGTGAGGTTCCAAATGTTGTGGGCATTCATGCAAGTATTTGTTTCCCTGTGCACAGACACCTAAAAGAAAAAGTCTTTTTTTGAAGTAAGAGTTGAAGAAAATACAAGTAAAAGGAGATATTGAAATAAATACAAAATAGCTAATCTGATGGCATTCCTGGTCTGATGTGGGACAAAGGAAGGGCACTCTGCACATGATATAAAGCTCTTTTCCATTAAGTGACTTTCCTATTAGGTTTATTTACCACCCTGAGCCCGGTCTTGGCTGGGGAGGGTGGGGTATAAATAAATTTTTATTATTATTATTATTATTAATAATCATGTAGAGAGGCAGAAAGGAATACTGCACATGTTTAAATGTATCTAGCAAACAGTACCAGAATTTACAAAAACGAAAATGGTGATAACCTTTTCTAAACTTCTTTGAGGGGTTTTTTTTTAAATCAAGTGCTGTATAGATTTTATGAAATAGATAAGCAATAAACAAGGTGAGGTAACTATGGATGTGTGAATATAACAATGGGCTCATCTACACTTCTGCTTTTCTGCCACTTTCCCCCAGGAAATCCCGCTGTTTATAGCTGAATTGGAGCAAACATCAGTCAGGTTTTTCTCCAGATGGATGTTTGCTCAGACTTGGCACTAAAGAGCAGGTTTTCCAGGGGAAAGCAATGGGGCAAATACAAAACGGCTTGTACTCATGCCTAGAAAGTATGAGTTACAAGCAGAAAACCGGCTGGACCCATGCTTCCTAGCTACGGGACAAGCTGAAGTGTGGACAACTCCAGGACGAGCACTAAGGTTGGACCACACCTGTTTCAACTCTTCAACCGTGATGAAAAGGAAGTTTTCCCTTTTCTTCATCTGCAGCCAGCCTTTCACGTGGTCAAACCAGGAGCCATGGGACACTGGAAGAGGGAAACGGAGGCACCAGTAAGCATCAACAGTTGGGAGGTGTGTCAAGGAAGACTTGGGGAGAACAGACTAACCAAGAAGGTAGCAAGGAACATCTAATGCTTTTCTCAAACAAAAGCAGGATAGCAACAGGAAACTCCTGAATCCTATCCAGATACTGCCAGTTAGTTACTAGACTACATAATGACACGGAGTTTGGGGTGAGACAGCAACTTTACCACTTCTCTTGGACCACACCTCCCATCAGCCCCAGTGTCAGGATGCTGTCAGTGGCTTCCAGCTGGTTGCCCAGGAACGTATACAGACAAGGAAAAGTTTCTTACTGACCTTTTTCATTTCAATCTTTACAGAGAGAGGCTATAGAACCCAGCCTCTTGGATAATGGCATTGTCCCAAGTGAATCTCCACCCCCTCCGTCCCTCCCACTTCCTCATTCATCACTTCTATGGGTGCTGCTAAGCGCCCTCTGTCTTTGAGCTCTTGGCTCTCCTACTTTCAAGGCTCGCCGGGTTCTGGGAGATGGTGGTGCTTTCTAATGGCAACGTGTCAGCCGGGTGTTGTCCCGGCTATCCCATGATTTTCAAGTTTTACCCCTCATCTTCCTCTGAGCAGCTACCTCCCTCAAACCCCTGTTGTAAATCTAGACTGTCTTCCTCTTCCTCCTCCCTGGAAGGGTCAGGATGCAGAGGCGGTCTCCACCATTCCTCCTCTGCCCAGTCCCTGACACCCAGCAGTATGGCCTGTGGTCAGGGATGATGGCATTTGTAGTCCAGTAACAACTCCAGTGTCACACATTCCTTATAATATTGCCCCAAAACACTGAATTTGAGACCCCACTATATCCCCACCCCACACATTCATGCCATTCACTACTTAAGGACGTTATTAATGTTAAAAGGAAATGAGTTTAACTATCATGACACCTCCCACCTTCCTTCTAATTTATCCCTGCTGGAATTACAGTCCTATGATAGGGCTCTAGCAGTGGTTAAAAAGAGAGTCTTCGTGGTACCATGGAGCAGACATTTGGGCTGCAACAGAGGGGAATGAGCCCAGGGCCGTCTTTACCCAGGGGTGCAAGAGGTGCGAGGCACCCAGGCGCCAAATTCTGGGGGTGCCAGGCGCCCGCTGCTGAAGCAGCCTAAGTTCTTAACTATCTACCTGTTATGAAATAATAAATAATTTTGATCAAGCTAGAAAAACAAAATACATATATACCTAGGCATTACCGAAATGTATACCTGCTGTTTCACTAAAGGACTTTTGACTTTGTGCGCTCATTTACCAAAGAAGCGCCGAGCCAGCAGCTGCGCTTGTCAATCACCACGGTGGCGCTTGTCAGACTCAACGAGGGCGCTTGCCATTCTCAATGGCGCCATGCATGCGAAATTAACTAAATTTGGGGGCGCTGGGCGGATCTTTGCACCCCAGCCACGCATATGCTAAAGACAGCCCTGGGTGAGCCGATTTGGCTCTTTCCATACCGTTCCCATCTAAGAACTCCTCCAAGAACTCATCCAGTCTTCCAGGATCCTTCCATTTTTTATAGCAGTAGTGGAACAATACCAGCACATCCTTGGGGTTTCGTAGGGTGTAAATAACCTGGAAGAGAGGCAGCGGGCACATTTTAAGGGAGCAGCAGCAGGGCAAGCTCTAACGTTGGGTAGAATGTGGTGGCCAAGTTGGGAGTCAGGAAATTAACTATTTATTGTAGTTTTATTATGTGATAGTTATTTATTGTTTGTAAGCCGCTTTGAGATTCATTTGAATGAAAAGCAGCATGGAAATAAATCATATCAAATAGTCGTATTGTTACAAAGGTTGCATGCCACCCCAGTCTGCTGAGCAGTAGCAAGATCCCAGAGGGTTCCAGGCTCTCTGGCAGGGTTGCTTCAATTGGGAAATCGAGGCACAGCAGAGATGAGTGTCTTTAAGAAATATGGAAATGGAGCACAGCCTCCATTGTGCCACATTTCCAAAGAAAACACAACCCTGGTTAAGTGCCAAGACCCCTGAAATCCTGTGCACCACTTGGCAGAGACTGGGGTGGCCCATAATAATATGCATTTTTATGTTCATCTTTGTACAAATTACCTGGTGGGCATTGAGAATAACTGGGAGGTACAAATTTAGAAGGATCACTGTCAGTAGATTTGCCTTTCAATGCACACTGAATCTCTCCCATCCCTAATCCCAGATCATATCTGATTTTCCCCCAGAGCACCTATATTTTAGAGTTTTGTATCTCTGAGGATTTAGAATTTTGAGATGTAGGTAGCTCTGAAAATTGCTTTAATCCTGCACTTAGCAACTATGTCTGGGGTTTAAAAAATAACAGCAGGTGTTGGGTGATTTGCCTTGAGTCCATAGAGGAGGGGCAGTTTTCATCAGAATCACAGCCAGGAAGGGAAAGGTTAAACTTCGCCTTTCTGTATACTATGGTTCCAATGAAAATCACCCCCTCCCCCAAACAGCAACAACAAGCTATTAGCTATGCAATTACTATAATAGGAAGTTTGACCCTGATTAAAGCTGGAAGCAAAATGAAGGGGAATTTTCTTGCTTAAATTTTCTTTGCAACCTTCCCTGAATTTATAGTCTCATAATTCACACTTTGCCCCCTCAATTTTAAGGGACCTTTTGGGGGTGCGGGTGGGAAAAATTAAAAAAGAATTGAATTTCAAAAAGGGCTAACTTTTAGAGGTCCTTAAAAAGTTTTCCTGAACCTTAAGTAGGTGTAAATAGTAGAAACCTGTGATGTATCTTGTTGGTCTGAGATTTATTCAAGAGCAGGTGTCTGGTGGCCCCTTAAGGGACAGAGGAAATGGGACTGGTGTGAGGTTTTTAAAAAAAAATCATTTTCTTTAATTCATTTCTCCATGAAGATCCCCACCATTAAGGAAAGATACATGAACATTGCCAGTGGCATGGATTGAAAAAGTCAGTCCCTGCCTCACCATACAGATATGGCTTCAGAACCCACCTGCATGGCTTCCTACTTGCCAAATCATCACATCAGCTAGTCTGGCCCTCAGAAGCGAAGCTGAAAACACAGTTTGAACTCTGACATTTTGCCTAATTTTGAAAGGGAGACATTTCATTGCGACTTCCAGCTACAGAGAGAGCTTTGGGGGCAGTCTAGCAAACTGGGGCCACAGCAGTCCTCTGCTGAGGTCATGGACTGAACATTACCTATTCATAGGTAAAGGGACCCCTGACCATTAGGTGCAGTTGTGACTGTCTCTTTGGTTGTGGCGCTCATCTCGCTTTATTGGCCGAGGGAAGGTGGCATACAGCTTCCGGGTCATGTGACCAGCATGACTAAGCCGCTTCTGGCGAACCAGAGCAGCATACGAAAACGCCGTTTACCTTCCCACCGGAGTGGTATCTATTTATCTACTTGCACTTTGACATGCTTTCGAGCTGCTAGGTTGGCAGGAGCAGGGACCGAGCAATGGGAGCTCACTCCGTCGTGGGGGTTCGAACCACTGACCTGATCGGCAAGTCTTAGGCTCTGTGGTTTAACCCACAGCGCCATTCTAGAATTAAGATGATGGTTAAAGAGTCTTTCTTATAGTGATCTCTAAGCTTGTACTATTATTACTGCTACTACTACAAACAACCTTCGTGGCACCTTCCTGGAAATGGACTGTGCCAAATACTGTATTGACAGTACGGAATTCCCAGTATCTTTACTGCAGACAGACATGATCAGGCTTTTGTGTGTGAATTGTTCCTCTCTTACCTTGGCCTTGGACTCGAGAAAGGTCTTAGGGAAAAGGTTTATTGGAAGGTGAGAAGCCAAGATTCTGGGTGGAGGATATTTCAAGGCAGTCTTCATGCCATCAAAAGTCTCGATCCAGGTTATTTTCTCACTGCAAACCCACGAGGGGTCCCATTCATGCTGGATCGCTGACAAGATCTCTGCCATCCAATGGCCACCTAGGAGGGAGTATAGCAATCATAGGGCTACCTCTTCTCCCACAGGCCTTTTGGTTCTGCAATGCACACCTTACAACTACTTTGACAACCAAAGCAAACCTCCTGGCAATATGAAATTATTAGTGGTGAGGGGATGTGACTGTTTTAAGTGTTTTTGAATTGTCAGGTGTTTTCATGTGCATTATTTTAAAAAAAATCTTATTATTTTAATATTATTGCTTTAACATTTTAGTGTTTGCTGCTCTGGGCTCCTATGGGAAGAAGAGCAGGATGGGCATTTAATAAATAAACAAGATAAATGATTTGCCAATGCCAATTCAAATGACCTTTCCCTGTTTATGTTCTGCAGCTCTCATTCCACACATTGTCTTTCCTACCTGACTTGGGGTAAGAGACACTCAGTAGATCGTCATCCAAGAAGCGAAATTCTTTTTCCAGATAGGTGAGCGATTCTGCTGAGGACAGCGCTGTGGGGAATAAGATCCCATTGTAGACGAAAAATGGTGATGACATTGAAAAACGCTAAAGACATCAAAATAAATAGATCAGTAACCTGGACCAAGAAAGTTGTGCAACCTGTTACAAAGCATTTTAATTCTGATGGCCCTCAACCTTTCTGGACTGGAGGTATTGTAGAAACATTTCTGCATAAAGATGAGCAACGGGAAAGTTGGTAGATGGATCAATGGTCTGATATGGTATAAAGCAAGTTGCAATGTTTAATTAAACATTCAGCCCTTTATTCCGAGCCATGAATGGGAATCTTGCTAATGGGCTAGCATGGTGTAGTGGTTAGTGTCATACTGGAACCTAGGATGCCAGGTTTCAAATCCCCACCCAGCCACTGGGTGACTTTGGGCCAATCACTCACTCTCAGCCTAACCTACCTCACAAAGTTGTTGTGAGGATAAAAGAGGAGATCTATGTACGCCACCTTGAGCTCCCTGAAGAAATGTAATAAATAGATATAAAATACATATTTTTTTCTATGGGGCAACCATCAAATCCACCATTGTAAGAAAGAGGATTTCTGAATCAATCATCTTAAGACACAAATAATCAACAATGGTTTCCATCTAGAATACAATGCTTGTTTCCCATGTAGCCTTTTCCTTTTCTTAAATTAAAAACAACAACAATGTATTGTGTATGACACACTCCTTAGAATTATTCCATCCCGAGTGTTCTTAAAACTGTCATCCAGGCTAATGGTGTTCATTTGAAATCCCAACTGTATCCCTGAGGAAGGCAGAAGTCTAAACATTTAGCTACATAGTCTTACATACTGTATGTCTTCCCCCCTCAAACTCTCTCTCTCTCTTATACACACACTTAAATATATATTGATACACTTACAGTGATTTAGAGATAGATACGTTATCATGCCTTAAGTGTCAGTTTGCATTTCTTAGTGCAGAAAGCATTGATCTGATATGCAGATATCTTTCCTATTCTAATTAATTCAAGAGGGTTCTGGGAGCTTCTCTGTGTGAAAGAAACAAGCAGAAGGTTCATGATGTTTGGCTTATTCCTTCAGAGAAGCTGAGTACAGCTGGCTTCAACTGGTTGCGTTATCTCTTCTGTCAAGGTCATGCTATAAAAGGCCAGAAGGAGCCTGGGTTTCACTTTCTCTTTCTCTTTCTATCTCTTTTCTGGTGTGGTGTTCTGTATATAGTGTTAAGGTTTTGTCTTATTAAAAGTTATTGTAAGTTTAAGCTAAGTCTGCTGCAACTGGATTTCTTATGGACAGTGCCAGTCCTGAATGTATTGGATTTGTGACCATTATGCACATTTGCCTTCAGTAGCAGTAAAGCTCTGCTGGATGAAATATTAATTGTGTCTGGTCTATTTATTGGGAATCCTGCAACGTGTATTAAGTTTTTTGCTCTGCTAACTATACGCTGGAGTTCGGCGCCGGATCAATATGAGTAGAAGCTGGGTAGATTACTTCTGAAATCCCTGAGAATGGTGCTTTGCAGATAGAGAGAGAGAGAGAGAGAGAGAGAGAGAGAGAGAGAGAGAGAGAGAGAGAGAGAGATTTTAATGGGCAGCCTATGGCACCTACCAACAGAAGACCAGGCAAGTGAGCTGTCCAGTGATGAGTCAGATGACTAGTTGGAGGCTTCTCTGCTGCTCCTTCTTCTACCTGTCTCATTCTGAGGAGGAGGAGCCAATTGGGTCCTTCCTCACAGTGAGACATTCCAAGTGAGGTGACCAGGAAACTGCCTGTGCTGCCCACCATGTTTTGCTGCTCCTCAACACCATCACCATCATCAACAACAATAAAATTCTACCCCACCTTTTTCCCTGGCAGGGACTCAGGGTGGCTTACATGTAAAATACAAACAATTAAAAACAAAAGAGGGACAGAAAAAAACACCCAATCAAACCTTGTATATTATCTCTTAAAGTCATATGGATAATGGACAAGGTGGGTTTGGGCTTTCCAGAGGTCTTCTTTCCCCCAATGCCATGCCTCAGTGAACCAGTTGCAGTTTATCAATCAACCATGCAATGGTGATCAGTAAACAATTTTCAGTGTGGTTTAATAATCTATTGTTCTTCACCAGAAACTCTGAGAATTGTAGGCAAGGGAATGGGGGTCTTCTAACAACTCTCAACACCCTTAATAAACTACAGCTCCCAGGATTCTTTGGGGGAAGCCATGGCTGTTTAAAGTGCTAGCGCCGTGTTTTAAATGCATGGCATGAATGTGGCCTGAGCTGGCATCCAGGTGTGTTGCAGGTTCTAGTTCCTATGTTTGCTTCTCTGTCATGCTGTCTGTTGTTGATGGTAGTGTAGCCTTTCTAGGCCCTTTAAACCATGGGTAGGAAAAATGTTGCACCCGAGCTGGGACGAAAGGGGCCAAATGACACCAAGGGGTTAAATCCAGAGAAAGAGTTTTTATTCTGCCAACCTGGGTCGGCAGAGGAGCAAGTGTGATAAGTCACAAAACAAGCACGAAGTTCACAGCCATTGCACATAGTTTTTATATCCCCTTCCAGTTCCCTCCCCCTTCTTCAAGAGTCCTGCCCATGAGTTCCTCTGAGCATGAACAGAAAGCTCCTGTCTTGAGACCATTTTTGGACCCTTCCCAGAAAGGGGGTGAGAGGGTTTCAGTGTGTTCCAGTTGTTTCATTCTTGTGCTTTGGCATGGTTCCCGGACAGAAAGCAAGTTGCAATGTGGTTCTTTAGCAAGGCCAAAGGCTCTGAGAAAGGCCTGAGAAGACAATGGGCTCTGTTCTCTACCTTGTTGCAATCTTTTTTAGTTACAGCATTTTCAATACAGAAGAGGACTGCTTAGCTAATGCTTTTTGTCTTAGAGGAAAATGCAGTTTTAAAATGCTTAAGGTGAGGCCTGGCTGGGGGGGAATTCACAAACAGTTTTTAGGGTTTTTTGGGGGGAACCCTAACTGTTCCCCTTCAGTAGTAAGCTGTTTCAGGCTGAGTTGTGAGCTTCTCTTTGTCAGATCAAAATAAATGCAGTTGTGTCACAGGGCTTCTTTGCAGAGTTGGAGCCTGTTCACAAGCCCCAAGGCACCCAGAGAAACCCATGAGGCATGCACCAAATTATTTAATCTCCTCTGGGCCAGATTGTATTTTAAGGCCCTCCTTAAGGCCAGAAATCAGAACAGCTTCTACCAATAGTGTCCAATTAGAATTGAGCAAAGGGTTCTAACTAGAAACCACTAGCAAGAAGACATGTTGACTCCAAGGAGAGGAGGTAGGCAAGAAATGGTGACGCCTCTTCCTTGATGCAAGAAGGAAAGGCAGGCAATGATGGAAGAATGAGAAGTACAGCTGCTGCAGCCTGAAGAATGGGGGTGGGGGCAAATGTGCCCCCCATCCCATTTGTGTGGGATGGAGGGCTCATAAACCTGTCTGGTAGAGTGAAAAGGTGTGACAGTAGTGAAGTAAACAACTTAAACAAATTAAAATTACTCCTGTGACTTTCTGTAGTTTGCCAGATCTTACTGGAACACCCATGAAAAACATCTTGTTCCCATGGTAACTCCAGCAAACGCAGCTGAGTGGATGAACTACAGGGAGCCAAAAGGGACATTTTAATAAATTCCAGTAGGTGCTGAGAGCCCAGAAGCTTAAAAAAACCCCACACCCTTAAAAGGAGTCACACAACAAAACCCTATAATTTCTATTCAGAAATCTGTTTATTTAGCAGGACACACTTCAACCATGAGAGGCATGGGGATCAAAAATAGCAGGAGGAATAATCTGACATTCTTCAATCCCATGGAAATGTCATGCGCAGACCCTGCATGTTCTCACGATAAACACAGTCAAAGTGTTCATTCTGTGCCACAGTCAGGTGGTTCTTCCAGTCCCCACAGATACCTAGAACAACACAAGAGGGTGTGAAACCACTTGGTAACCACAAAAAAGATCCACTAAAATTACTCCAACTAAAATCAGGACCCCATTTCATCTTGCTCAGGACTTGCCCTTCCACTGGATGAAGCAAGGCAGCTGCCTCAAGTGGCTTTTTTTAGGAATAGCAGGACCTGCTCCCTGGCTGTTCTTCCCAGGCCCTCCCTCAACTGGTACCCCAGGAGTAGTCATGCTTCCATGTCGATGGCCTAGACTTACTTAGCTGCATTTTCCTAAAGCTTCACAAGTAAGAATGGGCAAATCTGTCAATTTTGGTTACTCTCCTTTTCTCCTTTCCTCCCCAAATCTTAAATTCAGTTGTGCACATTATAACATCCGTTTGTAATTTTAAAAAAAAATCCTTCAAAAATCCACCAGCATTTTAATGCAAATTTATCCTAATTACACATTTTTCTTTTTTCTTTTTTTAAAAAGATTTTTATTAAAGTTTCAAAAATTATATAAAAACAAAACAAAACAATAGAACAAACAAACAAAAACAAGTATAATTTCAATCCCTTATTTTCTTATAACTTACTTCCCCGACTTCCTCATACCTCCCTTTTCTGTATTCTAATTTCCAGTTGTTAATTCAGCAAATCCTCTCCCTTATTTTCTGTTTAAATTTTTAACCTTTCATTTCTATGCTTAACCATTACTGCTGAAAACCACATATTTTCTAATCCAACGTCATTCTAACATTCATTAATTTTACAATGTTTCTTAAGATAGTCTTTAAATTTCTTCCAATCTTCTTCCGCTGTCTCTCTTCCCTGGTCTCGGATTCTGCCAGTCATTTCTGCCAGTCCCATATAGTCTATCACCTTCATCTGCCATTCTTCCAAGGTGGGTAGTTCTTGTAACTTCCAATACTTTGCGATGAATATTCTTGCTGCTGTTGTAGCATACATAAAGAATGTTCTATCCTTCTTTGGCACCAATTGGCCGACCATACCCAAGAGAAAGGCCTCTGGTTTCTTCAGATCTAATTACACATTTTCATGCAAGAAACAGGTTGTTGTTGCTTTTGTTGCAAATATGTATGTTATTGTCAGTATATGAATTTATATGCCTACATTATGCTAGCAGTGACATTTTGTACCGATTACTTGTCTGGAATACAGCATTGAAAAATCTGGAGTAGTGTGAATTTCGAGGAATGGTTGTGTTTCAGTACAAGAAAGTGTCAGTTAAGCAGGTTCACTTAAGGTGAACGGAATCAAATTCCCCCACACTCCCATACCTCTTTTTTTCTCTTCCCCCCCCCCACTCCCTCCCTCTCTCACACTCACATGCACACACACAGGTTCTTCATAGCTTGCATAAGCCATGGCCTTGGTCTGTCATGTAAATTGTTACCTTTCCTCATGAGCTTTGCTTTTGTGTGATCAAAATAGGTATCTGGAAATTGAGTATTATTGGACATCTTGTTGTCCTTCATCTTGTGGAAGGAGGCATTTTCCACCACAGAGTCGATTTGCTGACTATTCAGCTCTTTACCAATAAAATGACAAATCCTCTTCACACTTCCTCGGAGGTCCTGCCAAAGGAAAAAGCAAATGAGTGAATCCTCACATTGACACTGCCATAGGGAGATCTATTCCGCCTGGCCTTTGGTTTGGACTCAGTCTGACCGTTATGTTTCCCTCCCCTTATGGTTTTGATGAGACTGCATTTTAAATTGCATTTTAACCTGTATTTTAAATTGCTTTTCTCCCCCCTCCCCATTATGTTTTTACTCTGATTTTACTGTTGTTAGCCAGGCTCTGGCCGGGGAGGGTGGGGTATAAATAAAATTTATTATTATTATTATTATTATTATTATTATTATTATTATGAAGAAAACAAAGGCAATTGTGTCCGTTTGCAGGGAGCACTTGGCAAAAATGATGCAAACATTTGTCAACGGGTACCTCAAAGTCAGCACAAGAGTCAGTACTGAATTAGAAGACATTGAATTAAATACAGAATAGCATATTGTAGGGGAAGAAGTGATCTCTCCAGATACTTGTCAATTTTATCACTGCTCCACAGTTAAAATCCTGGTCTTTTTGTCAAAGAGGGGAGAGCCTTCAGGACCTGACTGCCCATTCTTACCACTTTAAATCTTTGTTTTATTAATGAAATTAAATTTAAAATTCCTTTACTTCTGCACTTTTAACTAACCTGTCCCCCCTTGATGTGAAACGAGATAGGATGGCAACTTTATACTGAACTGTGAAATCAAGGTAACAAGAATGGCTGCAATCCTAACACCACATTTGTACTTCTCTAACTCAGAGTCACCTTACCAATTGTACAATACTTTTTTAAGAACCAAAAAAAATAAATGACAAAATGATATGTCACATGACACAAAGTTGGAGACATAACCTGGGGGCATAAATATACCTGCTGTAGTTCTTCGTAGGTGATGAAGAAGAAGTTGGATCTGTCCTTCATCTCCATCCAGTTTTTCACATGCTCAAACCAGGAACCAAAAGACACTTGAAGAGCAAAGTGGAATGTAAAGAGTTTTGAAGGGGAAAGGAAAGACATGGAGGATGCACCAGTCAGGAACCTAGAAAAGACCTTTATTCTTCACCTGATCAACAAGAACAGTAGCAGGGAACTTCCAACACCACCCAGATACGACAAGTCCCAATACCAGGCTGAGCTGTTTGATGATTCTGTTTACACTGGCAAGATATGTAATATCATCTACAACACTGGAGTTGGGGATTCACAGTATCCTCTCCCTACATTTTGCAGCCATTCCAATTCCCCTTTTAATGACATTTGTTACTTTTTTTGGAAAATGAGGTGAGTACTGCAAGACCTTTTCCCATCCTACCCCTTCCCCACTTATCTCGATGGGAATTGTACTTCTCTG